AAACTCAGGGAGGCAGTGAAGGACAGGAAGGCCTGGCGCAATATGGTTCATGGGGTCACGAAGAGTCGGACACGACTTAACGACTAAACAACAACAAATGATTTTTGCATGTTTGAAGCTAGTCCTTGGCAAGCATGGAATCTGTAACTTTCATAAATTGGAGAATTGTCATTCCCAGCAGCCCCACCAATACTAAGCTTGGCCAGCAGTGAGGGATTCTGGGAGTTGTCATTCAGCAACATCTAAGGAGTCACGGATTCTCCATCACTTCACTTGTGAATTTAATGGGATTTATTCCCAAATATGAACTGCTTACGTCTCCTCTTGGAATCAGTGGGACTTCAGAGTGCTTCCCTTTTGCTAGATTGCAAGTTTTAAATCAGCTGAATTAAAAGTGAGAATGAAGTGTTTATGAACCCATATGCTAGATGACAAATTTTGCTGGGATTAATGGCCCAAAGAACTAAAATGTCTGCAAAGAATTCCCTGACGACTTCTGCACAAAGAGGTTGGGCTTGGGAACAAATAGCTAATCACATAGTGGAAATTAATAGCCTTGGTCATTTTAGCACCTAGAGTGTTGGGCTTGGAAGTCAGTACAAGCTAACCTTCAGACCAACAATGTATTTCAGATTGATCAGGAATGACATTTCTACTTTTTTCCCCCTGCAGAAAATGTACTGAGATATGGACACTTGCATAGCCGCTGTTTACTAAAGTTTCTTAGGTCCCCTGAGATCTTTATTGGTACAGTAGTTGGTATCGCATACCAATGAAACGCAAACTGAAATTAATTAACCCACTTTCGTATGCCTTTTAAAGAAAGGCTATACGAAATCCAGAAACGGACTAAGCAGCTAGTTGGGTGCATCGTTTGGCCACTATAAAGACCATGGTGGCTGCGTTCCTCAACTGCTGAAGCTTCCAGTCCAGACTATCCTTCCAAGTCTCCATTGTCTCAACCCATTTCGGCCCAGTGCGCCGTGTGAACCCAAGGTTGGCGACGTTATCATTTCGTGAGCGGTGCAAGGGCAGAAAAACGGGTCGCGTAAACCCCGCAGTCTTCTGCAAACCCAGCCTTAGCGAAATGTTGAGTCGGAGGCCCTCCGCGTCCTTTGAAAACTACAGCGAAAAACTCGGCAGCCGCTTTTGTGGCGAAACGGGCAAAGCTCTCTTTATTGCGCACGACGCAGAGCTGTAATCCCCCCCCCGCCAAACACGCGCACAGGCGGGTTGGCTGGCTGCTTTTGAAAAACCATTATTTCGAGATTCGACCACCCTGTTTTGAATTTGTGCAGCCATTTCGTCCCTTGAAAATGAATGCCAGCGCTCCCGCCCCCCCCCGCGCCTCCCTTGCTTTTTTTTTTTTTATAGTATTTTATTGGAATTTTAAAAGCTTGCTTTTTGTTTCAAACTCCTCCGGGCGACTCGCTCGCCCGTTCAGCGCGCGCGCAGAGGCGGAGGCGGAGGCGGGGCGCGTGGGCGAGCAGGTGGGCGGGGCCGTCGTTGTGGCGACAGGAGGGGGCGTGGCCTTCCCTAGCGCGTGCTATAACCGGAGCCGCGAGCGCTTCCAGCTGGACGTTTGCTTTTCTCCCTTCCTCGTCATGAGGAGCCTGACGGTCCGGCTGCTGTGGGCTCTGGCAGGTACCGCCACGAGCCCCTCCTTGGGTCTGCTCCTGCTCAGACGCGGGAAGCGGCCGGCCGGCCGGCTTTTCCAGCCGGTCTGCCTCCGAGCAACCGCGAGCTCTGCAGCCCCGTGCCGCTGTTGAAACGTTAATCCCTTCGCGCCTCCCGCGCTGCTTCCCTTCGCATCGGGTCGCTGTCCGGGGGCGCAGGGAAAATCCGTGGCAGTGCTCTCGGTGTGGGTCATTGGCAACCCCCAACAGTACTGAGCGGGGGCTTCAGGGAAGGGAAAGGTAATCATGGCAATTAGAGTGCGAGGCCATGGTGTCTTCCCTAGTAACCTCTCCATCCTTTTTTTCTCCACTCGCACCCGAGGACTCCTGATGGTGCTTTCTCCTGGGAAAAGTAGCATTGAGGTGAGTGGGGGGAGCCCAAGGGGTAAGCAAACTCTCCTCGTCCCAGTTTTATTTTGTAGTTTGCAAAGTTCATTAAAAAATTAATTTGGAAGTAGGGTTGCTGGCTCCTTTTCATCTTGCAGCAAGCCTGTGGGTGCCATTTGAGGCACTTGGATGGCAACAAGCAGTGCTTTGTGTGCTCAGAGCTATCAGTGCCCATGTGAGAAGCCTCGGACTAGAAAGTTGTGTCCCATAATTGGGTAATTCATGGGAACTACTGGAAAGTTACTCAGCGGAGAAAGAAAAAAATCTGCATGTGCCCAGAGATGAAGCTGGTTTGTGGCTGGATCGCCTTCAATCAAGCTATAGTCCTGGGAGTGGAAATATGAACCAAAACATTTCTGCTTTAGCTGCACTGAAAAACTATTTAGCTATCACTGAAAAACTATTTGGGGACTAAACCCTGGCAGAGATAAAAAGCAGTCTAGGCTTTGTCTTTTTTAAACTGAAGCAAATGTGGGTGAAGCACCTCTGATCTTCAGTGGCAATTGTTATATGGAGTTGTGTGAGTTTTGCTGCAAAGATTATTGGGTTGGAAAATTATGGTTTCTCACAAAGGGCAGATCATTCCTACCATGGAAATATGTGGTATATCTACTACTATGCTTAGCTGTAGATATGGCATTCTATATAAAATATTAGGCTTATACTTGAGTTACTAAGTTTTTGTCTAGAATTTCACCCAAATGAGACAAAACTAGTAATTGTTAGCATCAGGGTTGAAAGTCTGGACTTTTTGTTTTCCCCTTTTTCCTCTAAGTTAGACAAACATTTCAAATCAAATGAAAAAATACGTGATGCTGCAATGTTAGTTAGAAATCTAAGATGACCATTTGGGAGTCATTGAAATACAAGCTATGAATCTAAAAGATGGAGGAATTTGACCTAAGTATCCAAAGACTAGGGAATTGTATAATGGAGGGGAAGTTGCTACCCGTTTTAGGCTCTTGCACTCTTATTAAATGAATTTTATTTCTGCTGTTAATAACCTCCTAGCATAGTTACTGTAAACAATAGAAGAGAATATGTGTAGCTCAGGGTTGAACTGTGGAGTCCTTGAGGTTCTCTGAGCTTGGTTGTTTT